TGAATTACAATCGAATACTCATAAAGGAGTATCGAAGGTCTTCTTTTAGAAGGCTTCGAGGTTTGGTTAAAATTTTGTTACAAATCACAACTTAACATAAGTGCAAAAGATTGTAAAAAAAATTACTTGTTTAACCGGTGTAGTCAGTGACAAGTTGGCTTTGGAAATATTTTCATGTAATGAAGGACCAAAGTGATATTCAGATGAAAATCATATTCAAAGAAAATAAGTATTGGATCTTGTTGTGCAATAATGTCTTGGGTTTAGAACATTTTATCAAGACCACTAAAAACGAAAGAATATGATTTTGAATATCGAAAAATGTACTAACACAAATGTTTCGTTAAAATCTTTAACTAGAAGTTCATCGTAATTCCTTATAGGATTTGAAATGATGGGTTTCACTTTCATCACGGACTCATGAATCCAGATCATAAACATAGATTGTTTACATACATATAACCTAGTTGGTTTGACCAGAGATGTCTTGGGTAAATGTCATTGTGTGTGATCATGTAAGAACATTTGATGAAAAAGATTGGTTATAGAATCGAAAGCACCTCTTCTAATAGTGGGCCAAGAAGGAAACTCTTAACTCATTTGAGAAGAGTAAGGTAGCTCAAGGACTAATGTGAATATAACTTGATTGTGAAGGAATCCTCGTGATGAGAAATCCATTAAGGCTTCAAAATACATTGAGTCATGGAGGCTTGGGTCGACATGTTGCAACATGCTTCTAGGGACACCTAACTAGTGTAAAGTATCCAATTTTTTACCTTTACCTAGAGCCGCAAAACATGTTCCACTATAGATCTTTGTTACAAAGCTTCACACGCATGTTAACTCAACAAAATAGAAAAAATATTTTTGGCTATTTGATTTTTGAATGAAAACAACAAAAATAAGAAATTTTTGATTTTTGAATGAAGAAGAAAAAAATAAAAAAATATTTTTGATATTTATGATTTTTGAATGAAGAAGACAAAAATAAAAAAATCTTTTTGATATTTTTGATTTTTGAAAAAAAAAATAACGAGCAAAGAAAGAAAATTGTATCGGACATGCAAAGTGTAAAGTGTCGACATAAGGAATGAAAGAATCGACGGTAGAAAATATGTAGCGAAGCATTTGCTGAATCAATCTGAGGAATTACGAAAGTGAAGTGTGTCGAACACTGAATGGTGAACAATAACTTCTGAATAGATCAGCAAGAGTTCGACATCACTTGTCTTTATGACGAATGCATACAAGGAACAACATTCGCATCTAGCATGCCTAAGCCTAATAATATTCAAATAAAACACTTTTCATCCAATGGTTTTGTACAAATATCAGAAAAATGATTAGTTGTCTTTACAAAGTAAACTACTATGTTGCCATCTTCAACATGATCTTTGATAAAGTGATAACGAAGTGCGATGTGTTTTGTCTTCGAATGTTGTATAGGGTTATGGCAGATGCGAATAACACTTAGTGAGTCACAATACAATAGAATTTTCTTCATGTTGATTGCATAATCACGTAATTGACTTTGAATCCATATGATTTGAGATGTGCAAGTTGCAGCAGCCACATATTTTGCTTCTGTTGTGGAAATCAAAACACATGTTTGCTTTTCTGATTACCGGTTAACAAGCTTCCCATCTAGAAGTTGACATCTGCCACTTGTACTTTTACGATCAAGTTGACAACCACCCAAATCAGCATCCGAAAATGCTTGAATGAAAAACCCTGTCTTCGAAGGATACCATAATCCTAACGAAATTGTGCCTTTGAGATAGCGAAAAATGTTATTGACAGCTGTTAGATGGGGTTCGCGGGGATTCGATTGGTACCTATCACAATTACAAATAGAAAACATAATGGCAGGTCGACTCGCCTTTAGATATAGTAACGAACCTATCATGTTGTGGTACAAAGTGAGGTCGACTGCCATCAGTAGTCTCAACTTTGAGCTATTCATCATTCCAAACTTTTCAAGTAGAGTTCGAGAGTATTTCTCTTGATTGATAAAAATTCCAACTCTGCTTTGACGAATGTTTAACCCTAAAAAGTTATGTATTTTTCCCATCATGCTCATCTCAAACTGGCTTTTCATCATATTCTCAAATTCCTTCGACATATTAGGATCAGTACATCCAAAAATAATATCATCAACATAAATTTGAACAAGCATGAGATGATACCTAACTTTCTTTCAAAAGAGAGTGGGATCAACTGATCCTTGTTTAAATTTCGATGATTTCAAGAAATTAGTAAGAGTGGCATACCAGGATCGTGGAGCTTGTATAAGTCTATAGACAGCCTTATCTAAAACATAACAATGATCAAGATATTGTGAATTGATAAAATATGGGGGTTTCTCAACATACACCGTTTCTTCAAGAACTCCATTAAGAAAAGAACACTTTACATCCATTTGATATACGTCAAAATCCTTGTATGCTGCATAGGCTAAAAAGATTCGAATAGCCTCGAGTCTTGCGACAGGGGCAAAGGTTTCTTCATAATTAATACCTTCTTGTTGCAAATATCCTTTACTACCAGCCTAGCCTTATTTCGAACAATGTTCTGTTATTTATCAGTTTTATTTTTGAAAATCCATTTTAAACCTATTATCGATACATCTTTAGGTTTCGAAACAAGTCTCCACACTTTATTTCGTTCGAATTCAACCAATATAGATTGCATGGATACAATCCAATCAGGATCTTCTATAGTAGTATAGGCTGATTTTGGTTCAATTTTAGAAATAAACACATTGAACATATAAAAGTCTTGATTAGAATTTAATACCTTATTCTTTTAATGTAGTTGAGCTCTCATCAAAACTCCAGCTTGAGGATCATAAAGAATTTTTTCATGTGGATGACTTCGTGTCCATCTATCCATCAGTGGATATGCAGGATCAATATCTAATGGTGTATCTTCGAATGTTTCATCTGTTTCGAAACCATCACCCTCAACATTTGGATCATTATCATGATGCTCCCCCTAAACATCAATATTTAATTGTCCTTGCTCCCACTTACATCACCAGTGTGCTTTGATGCTTCAAGGATGTGATTATCATCAACATTGGTTTTTGCATCAATAGCCCTATCAGGAATAACAAAAATTAAATCATAATAAAAATCTAACGACTTCAACAATTGAGATTCATCATTTGATTTATTAATAATTGGTTTTTGTTCAAATCATTTTTCGACTCATTTAACATAGTAATCATCAAAGGTAAGATTAAAGGTTTCTTTGATTTTCCTGGTTCGTTTGTTTATAACCCTGTAAGCAATAGAGTTATGAGAATCTCCCATGAATATCTCTTCATTAGCTTTTGAATGAAACTCCGAAAGGTTATCCTTGAGATTCATAATAAAATATCTTCAACCAAAAACATGAAAAATTTAAAGATTTTGTTGCATGTTGTTAATGGTTTTATAAGGTGTTATATTAAATCAACAATGAATAAAAGACCAATTTTGAGTGAAACAAGTCGTCAAAACTGCTTCAGCCCAGAGATACTATGGAAGGTTCACATATGTAAGCATTGTTCCGGCCGCTTTGCAAAGAGATCGGTTCCTCCTTTCGAAAACACTATTTTGTTAAGGTGTGTAAGGAGAAGAAAAATTATGTGAAATTACTTTGTCGATTAAGAATGCATCAAGAACCTTGTTCTTGAACTCTGAGCCATTATCACTCTTGATCTTTTGAACCTTTTTCTTCAAACTCATTTCAATATGCTTGATAAAGTTAATTATCGCTTGAGGTATTTCTTACTTCAGTTGTAGAAAATATACCCAAGTAAACCTAGAAAAAAATATCCACAATGACTAATATGTACCTCTTCTTGTTGAGGGTTTCAACAGTCGAAGGCCCACAAAGGTCAATGTGAAGAAGTTCCAAAGGTTCAATAATCTTCTAATCAATAGTTATCGGATGACCTTTCCTATGTTGCTTCCGTTATTCGCAAGCTGCACATAAAATATCATTGTCAAATTTTAAGATAGGCAAACCACGAACAAGGTCATTTACCACCTATTTCTTAAGATTGCGAAAATTTAGATGAGAGAGTCTTTGATGGCAGAGCTAGCTGATGTCAGATGAAGCTTACGAAAGTAAACATACAGAGGAAACTCCAAAAATTAGTTTGATGTCAAGGGTAAACATATCGCCTTTTCGTTTTGACTTGAGACAAACTTCTTTTGTTTCTTTGTTTGAAATGACACTTTCTTCTTCATAAAAAACAATCTGATTACCAGTGCCCACAACTAGTTTCGAAACACTAATCAAGTTATGTTGAAGACCTTCGACATATGCAACGCTATTAACAGTGAACTTACCATTCATTACTTTACCATAACCTTTAACGTAACATTTATGATTGTTACCAAACTTCACTACCCCAGCATTATCAAGGTTTCGATAGTCTTGCAAGTTTCCCTTTTTACCAGTCATGTGACAAGGGCAACAACTATCAATGTACCATTTATTATCATATTGATCATCACACAAAACTTGCAATTAGTGAATGAATTCAGGTCCCCAAGGCTATTTGGGTCCTTGGTTATTAGACCAAAATGCATGAAACGGAGATCCTATAACCCAATTATGTTATAATTTCAAACTATCAATTAAGTCCATTTAATGAGAAAATGGTATTGAAATGAAATCATTTGTTGGTTTAGAATCAACACTGACTTTCCTTTTGACCTTCTCAGTTTGTTTTACATCAACTTTTTGATTT